AGACCTAACCGTAAACCTTAAGCCTTAAACCAAGTCTTTGCCTTCAAACAGCAGATTCAAACAGAAAATGTGAGGACTGGTCAAAATGTCCTCGCTTTCTGAAAACGTTCTCATGCTCAAATTTTCTAACTGAAATTAATCCTTCCAAAGATAAAAAAACAAAATACACGTCTGTATGCTTTCACATGTGTGACTCAGATATAACACATTCCTCCTGCATTTACACATTTGGAAAAAGTGAACTATATGCTCAAACACTTAATGTCCTGCTGTTGTGCAAACCCCAAGCCAAAGTGACATTAGTAGTATTAAATTCTGACTATGACATGTTGATGCTGAAACCATGCAGCCCTCTAGAGTTCAGGGTTTCTGGATCCTGGAACATGATGCTGGGTCAGCTACACAGCTACACTCATTCATTTTCTTTTCACCAATGTGCAATAGCAGCAGGTAAAACTAAACCCTGGACTGGTTCCCAGTTGGTCACGAGATGATTCACAAAGCTTAAAGTTGCAATTCTGTTAATATGACCTTATTATCATATTTCTTTCAGGGCCAGAGTTCATCATCCTAAATCAGCACTGTTTCAAAAAGTCCTTACCTGAAAAGTTTGAGAGCAGCTCCTCTTGGGGAGCCCTGACAGGCCTGCGGCGCCCGGTTAGGGATCCCAAATAGAGACGCATTCAGCAGTGTAACCAGAACACAAACAAACTGTTGGATTGTCTAGAAAATGAAACCTCCCTTATCATGACTACTTAGAAGGAAGTCAGTCAATTACATTACCTCCGATTGCCCAATGGCTGAGTCGCCGTGATGTCTGCTGTGCTTCCAACCGGCTGGATTATCATGAATCCTCGACTTGTTGCACACTTCCATTTAATTTCAAGTGTGTGTATAAAGGCATGATTATAAAATTTCTTTACTGAGTCGCTGTTCAGTACCGATTCACTTTCCCATAATTCCCTGCTACTAAACACTCAGCGAAATGTTGACGCTTACAGCTGTTTCAATCATGTGCTATAATAGGAAACAGTCAAATCAAAGAATCCCATGCTGTCATCAAAACTGCCAAGAAACTAGTCTCACCAGTTCAGAAACATGCAGGTCAACAACACCAGAAGACATCAGCGCAGAAACAGGCTAATCTGAGAGAGAAGCATAGAAATCACATGAAGCGTTTATGCAACATAATGATCTGTTTCACAATAAAAACAGCAAGAAAAACCAGCCAGACCTGGTTTAGACACTAGAAAACAGAACATGTACTATTTGACAAGTAATACGTGTTTGCCATCTACATATATTCACTGAATAGTGGTGACTTTTTATTCATCTCTCATTCATCTAAAAACAGAAATACGAATAGTGGTGACTTTTTATTCATCTCTGACAACAGCAAAGCTTTTTCTAAGTAAAAACAGAAATAACACTGTAAATGTGATAAGTAAATGTTCTGAATGTATGAACTTAAGTACATAAGTAATATAAGTAAAATCTATAAAATAAAGTATCAGTGCTCATTTCAGAATTGAATTTCTGAGTGATTTTACTGGATTATCTGTATCGATGCTTTGACATGTAAACAGCATTTTCATATTGCAGCTGGTGGAGAAGCTGTTAAACATGTTTAAGCAGTGTTGAGGTTAATCTGCAACTATGCATCATATTCAGTGTGTTACACTTTATCACATACGAGTAGACTAATGATATATAAAATTTAGTGATAATGTGATAAAATAGTCTTGATGCCACCCTGGGACTGTGCCCAAATCTGCTGGGACATTACATATGGTACTCTTAAAGTCTTTTCTCTTGAAAACGCAGCACACAATGCTTGTCTGAGTGTTTTTGGTGTTGTGATAAATATCGTTTTGTGAAAGTTTTATCATGGTATTACTGATAGTTATCAGATAAGTATTTGATGTTTTGAAAGTCTGACTCTGCAAAATAAGTACAGCTGACAGAAGCATGTAGAGGAGGAAAAAACGCAGTATTTTTTGTGTATTGTAAGAGTGTAGAAGTATCAAATATAATAAAATGAAGTACAGATAATGAAAATTAAAGTGGATTTAGACATTATGTACAGCGGAGAAAAGAGTTGTTTTATATACTTGCTGTCAAGTTTGCTCAGACCTTAATTGATGGCAGACACTCACTTGTTCTTAATCCATAACAATCTGCAGCTTTTTATGAGTTGATATTTTCAATACTCGCAGCTAGTTTAAGGTTACTCTCCCAGCTGCCTGCCACCTGTTGCTTTGCGTGCATTTCCTCATTCTGGCCACACGCGAACATGTATTTCCATTTACGTTGTTGCCGTGCATGGGGCAGCAAAACAAACTGGTATTATGCTGATGAAGCTGATATCATAACGCGACCGAATGCTTCTCATACCGCCTCTGGAGGTTGTCAGGGGCAACTGGATCTTTCCTCCCTGTCAATAAACTGAGCGTGGGTGCATTTAGTCTGCAGAATTTGTCTGTTGTTTAGCTCTGTCCAAATACTGTGGTGACCCATAATTTCAGCCAGTTCAAACTGTTTGACATTCATGTTTCTTCTGCACTCTGGGCCACAAATTAGCAACATAACTGCACCAAACAAACTCTCGCACTGCATTTCACTGGTGAATCACTGAACCACTCTGTCTATTGTTTCAATTGATCTTATGTTTCTGTATATTTACTTTACTCTGAGCATGTACTGTGTTGATGAAAGCCACTTTTCCCACTGGGGAGAGTAAAAATCCTCGAAGCCTCAACGCTCAACACATCCCTGCCTGTTTTAGAGCACAAGCATTACCCAACTGGAGCAAGACAGCTGCAAAAACATCAGACTGGAGACGGAGAGAAAGCGGGTGAGAGAGTAAGAATGAGATGGAGAAAGAGAGAAGAGGCCAGTGAGGCTCTAGTTTAATCTTTTCCAAGTCGTGCCTCGGCTTGAATGGAGGCAAAGAAGCAGAGAAGAACTGTGGCATGTACACAAATTATTTCCTAACCTTGGCTCACAGCAGGCTGTGAAAGCCAGTGATTTCTGTGTGTGTGTTAACACAAAGCACTAAGCTACATGCATCAGCCAAAACTCCAAACATCTTCTCATAGCAACATTTTCTGTTGTAGTGATTTGTTTTTTCATGATATTTTTCATCTGGTCTTGGCTCGTGCCTTTGCAGGGTAAAGTTTATACTCCAGTGTGTGAGTGGATGACATATTCTTTTATGGCTTTCTAACATACTTTTTTTGTCCACCAACCACAGTGTACGTATCAAACCAAAATCATCCCGGCTACTTCGACTGATGGCAGTTGAGCTCCCTGGAATGCGACTGTTTTACAGCTGACTTCTAGCTCCACTTCTGGTTGTGGCCAAACTGAAATTCTGTCCTCTCCTGCATTTGTGACTAATTAGATTCAAGAAATTCGCTTTATTTATTTATTTGTTTTTACTGCATCGTGGATGATGCAGTTTGCCTCAAGAAACTGCACAGAAACCAGTCAATCCAGTTCAAAAACAAGGCTGTCATTCAGAAAATAATACATATAGCAAAGAAATCACTTTCAATTTGACACATAAAAATACAGAACAGTCAAGAAACCATTCAAATCACAAACATAAGCTGATAATGCTCCAGAATAAAGGAAAATACCACAAATACCAGAGAAACCAGTATAGAAACTGGTGCAGCCACCTCGATAATACAATCTGGAACAAGATAAAACAGCACAGCAACACAAAAACAGTATGACAGCAACTATACCAGCTACAGTATCTGAAGATGGCAAGTACACCAACCAGTCAACCAGTTCAGCACCACACAACACTGCTGGGCAAATAAACACAAACACTGATGCCAGAGTAAGAAGTTCAGCGACAAGATCATCAGCTCCACAGTAACTACAGCACAGACTGGACTGAGACCTAGTGACAGGTCTGGGATCAGCCCTGCAAGCTCCGCATCATGCTGCTCTGTGCCACAGTTACACAGTCTAGAAGCTAAATCCTGTAATCACAAAAAAACTGTCGAAGAGAGTAGAGGATTGGACAGCAGTGATAGCTGTAGACAGCAGAATGGGTCTAAAGTATAAGGGTAAGCTTTGTTCCTGTGTCCAGGGGTTAGCAAATCGTGGCCTTCATCCACTAGTAGTAGCTCCTAACTTATGCTCCTGTGCAATCAGAAAGTAGTTAGCGCTGTGGTTGCTGTTATATTGGCTCTGTACTTCAGTGGACATAAAATGAACCTGTGGGGTTTTAGATTTTATTTGAGGGTTTTTGCATATCGAACAAACAATGTAGAACCCTTTTTTACACACTACCCCAACATTATTACTTTTACTTTAGTAGAACAATGGCAACAGATGGGTTTCTTTGAGCTCAAGCAAATCCAATTTTGAGCTTTGACCCACCGAGGAAGACCATGAGATATGGTTGAAAGTTATTGTTTCTACACTTGTGTGATGAAGACACGAACGCCTTCCGAGTAAGGCTGAAAATCAGCACTTTAAGCAGAATGATAACGTTACACTGCACTGTACATCTGATCTCACTGTATACAGATGTTTACAGCTACACCGATTTGTATCATCTGTTTTTGAAATACCTACAATGTTTTCATCATGAAACATTCCTCTTAAGTGGATTTATGTTGTTTTGATACACAACATTACGTTTACTCAAATACGCTAAAGCTGAATGGAAACCATCCAGGGGTTAAGGATACAACCCTGAATCACCTTGAACATGTGAACTTTAGATGAAGCATATGAAAAGTTTGATTAATGGATGGAAAATTTGCTTTTTAGGAACATTCTTGGCTGGAACACCCCCCCTCTGTTTCACCCTGATATTTATGAGACTTACACAATTCATCACACCCACATAACCCATGTTACACAACTCATGCTGCGTTGCACATACTATCCACTGCCCATAAAGCTCTGAGGAGCAACTAAATAAAGCAGCCTGAATTTTGCAAGTGTTGACAGGTTAGGATTCTGGAAGGCCTTACCTGTTGGTCTGCACATGCTCAGTTTGGTTTCACTGGGAGTCCCAACAGAAAGTGTCCTCATGGAGCCATCCTGTAGGAAAGAACACACCAGAATAATCACAAATGTGTTCATGACTTTAACCTCTTGAAGCCTACTGACCTGTCCAACATTACAAAGTCACACTGTGCTGCCAACCTTTGTAAGAGGGACATGGCTGCAGACTAGATAGGAGGATCGCAGCCTCGGCTGGTAGCCGGGTATAGGTCAAGGGCAACATTAATAATATTAATATAAAGTTAATAACATTAAAACAGTGCAGTAGAAGTACGAAGTAGCACAAGTTGAAAATGACGTTTCTCGTAATTGTACTCAAGTACAGTACAGGTAGGTAAATGAGAGGGAGGTGTAAAAAAGAGCAAGCAAAAGAAATGGGAGGGCAAAGGAGGAGGAAGAGAAATAAGGATAAAAGGTAGGATGAAAGAGGAACAAAGAAGGGGGGAGACTGGGGTGAGAAATACAGGGGGAACAGAGGGGGAGAGAGAGAGAGAGAGAGAGAGAGAGCGAGAGAGAGAGAGAGAGAGAGAGAGAGGAGTCTCACAGGCAGGAAAGTTCCTTCAATTCATCTCATGTTGTCGTCTCTGCCACAGAGAACGGAAACGCACTGTACACACACACACACATACTGTACAAACACACCCACACCCGCTGTGTTTTCATTCCTTGTGGGGACTTTACATTGACTTACATTCATTTCCTGTACTCTTATCCTAATCTTAACTATAACCACTACTTGCCTAACACCTAACCTCACCCTAACCTTAAATCATGCTGCCACCCTAAAATTCAGTGATGGCTGAGTCCAAACAGTGTGAGTGTGTCAACAGGTTTCGGTTCCCATAATGTAAGTAATACAAAGGCAAAAAGCACACACGTTGGAAAAGGACAAAAACACACATCCACACACATACAACAACGTAATGGGTGGAAAACATCAAAACACACAGCAATAGAACAGTGGACAGTCACATGTGCCACACACACACAGTGGGATGGCTGTTTTGAGATCACATTTTTCCGAGTCGTCCTCTTGCCCCAGTCTGCCACGAGGAAGCCAGGGGAAAACTGTGACACTGTTTTTTCTGTTTCATGTCTGTCAAGACACACACACAGACACACAGATGACGATGCTGACTCGTGTGTGTTTCCGTCTGTCTGTAGCTTTTCCAGGAAGGAAAATAAAACCGTCCAGCTGTTGTGCTGCGTCTTTTCTACTGGACTCCTTCTAACAACATGATCACACTTAATCTACAACGCAGCTCCTCAGCGTGTTTTACCCATATTCCTGTTATGCTGAGTCCAGTGAATGATTCCATGACTCAAAGGTGCTGACATGAACCTGATCAGGTCTGGTTATAGATTGCAATTCCACAGCTGCTGCTACACCTGAGGGTGAAACTCATCATTTTCCAGACAGTAGTCATATAAGAGCCATCACTGCTAGGAACAGTCTCTTATTCACATAGTTTTTGTCTGTTGACCTCTGACACACAAACACAGGGCAGCAGCTAACACTTATTCCTATTATCATTAAATCGGATAATTACTGTCTGACAGGTTAGTCTAAAACCTGTCAGAAACCGGTGAAAATCAGTGGAATCCGCATAATCATAAGACTTTATTGATCCCCGGTGGGAAATTCACCAGCAGTACGTAAAGTACTTCACATTATAAGGTAGTTAACATCAGCACCACCTTTACCAGGTGCGACATTAAAGTGATGAACACAATAATGCTTCAGTCATTATGATCCATCAATGTGAAGTTCTGCATGAGCACTTTTACTTATGGTTTTTCAAGTATATTTTGATACTAAAACTTTGTACTTTTACTTAAGTAACATTTGTAATGCAGGACCTTTACTTGTAACTGAGTATTTTTACTCTGTGGTATTGCTACTTTTACTTAAGTACACAATCTGAGTACTTTTACCACAGGTGAAAAATGTCTTTTCTTTGTTTATAAATCCAGTATAATACAGTATATTCAGTTTATTGTTACATAAGTCCAGTGATGAAAGGAGTATTTAGTATGTAACAGTACTGATACCATTTTGTATTACACCATTATTATACCACAAAGTCAATCCTTTACACTTTCTCTGCCCCCATTTAAAATTGATGAATATTTCCATCACATTCAGTAGTTTAAAATTAAAGTGCTTCTGTTTGCTGAGCTGTGCACTGAGTGTGGAAAGAACGAGGAAAAACCAAAGAACGGAAAACTTCAGCAGAGAGAGAGGATGACATGCAGCAAGGTCACAAGTTGGATTCAAATCCACAACATCTGGAATAGATGGCTGCAGGGTGGGAAATTACCACCAGCCACCAGTCAAACTCTGGCAGGTTGTGGCTGCGTCTGGTCGGCTTGTCTACCGGAGGAGCCAATTTTGGCAGGTGACCAACTATCATTTAGTGTTTGAGTCTGCTCTAAGTAGCATATTCGAGTGCCAGAATGAGGACAAAAGCAAGTGAAGTTTGGACTGTGTAAACCACTTTAGGCTGGCAGATAAACAGCTCAAGTCTCCTTCCCATCGTTCCTGTTAGTCCTCTCAGTGTTTAGCCAGTAAAAGAGATGTAAAAAACACGTGACTTTGGGGAAGCGAGGAATTAAATCCCACTGTTCTGTGTCTTTTCCTACTGTCTTTCCAAACTGGAAGAGGAGACACAAGAGGGCAAAAGAGCAACAAAGAGGTGTGGAATATTCTTCTGTTGATTTTCCATTCACTGTAGACTGGGAAGTATAAAGGCTCCTGGGTGAGAAAAAAATTTGGATTCTATTCTCATCTCTTCCCTGTTTCTTGAACCCATGGACTATTTGTATTTCTGTCTGTATCCTAGTACTGAATCTGCAACACCTTATTCTTTCCATCTGTGGCCCATTTTTATCGTGTTAAAACAATCAACCAACCAAGCAGCAACATCTACCATATAACAAGTAATCCAAAGAGCCGTGGCCGTCCATTGGCAAATTTGTTTTATCCGAATGATGGCACAGAGTTCACAATGCTGCTGTCAACTGTCCAATGAATGCAGTCATGAGAGTACATTTTGTTATAATATCCATCTAATCAATCAGCCAATTACGTTCCAGCATTCAAAGTAGTTTTAGATGAGTTCATTTGATATATTCAACATGTTGGTCAGTCAACTAACAATCAGCCATACTTGCAACATCTGCACAATAAAGCCAAAGTTATCAGGCTCATAAGCCAACAACACCAAATTTTGATTCTGGTACCAATCCCAGTTAGTCAAAGGGACGTTCCCAGTAGACTGAGAGCATTAAAAAGACTGAGTCAATAAAACAGGTCAAACACAAGCACAAATCCATCAAGAAATTCATAAAACAAAATTTCATAAGAGTTTCACATCCGGTATTCATTTATTCACCTGAACAGCCTAAAGACTACCAAACTGACTTTAACTAACACAACCAGCACAAACATCACGTCACCATTCAACCATTCAATCAACCAAAACATCAAGAAAGCGCCCACGTAGTTACAGTACATCCATCCATCACTTATCAATTACTTATCCAGGATTAGGTCACAGAGAAAGCACGTTTAGTAGAGTGGTTCAGACGTCTCTCTGACCAGCAATATTTTCCAGCTCCTCTTGGGGACCCAGAGACATTCCCAGGCCAGATGAGATATGTAATCCCTCCATGGTGTTCTGGGTCTACACCAGGGCCTCCTCCAAACCTCCAATGAAAGGTGCCCAGGAGGCGTCCTCAACTGGCTCCTTTTGACAAGAAGGAGCAACGGCTCAACTCCAAGCTCCCCCAGATGTCCAAACTCTGCACCCTGTCTCTACACCCTACAATCTAAACCACCACAAATAAAGGATGTTTAAAATCAGAACAACCAATGTAGAGTTCGAACACTGACATATTACTGAGCTGGTCTGGACTGACCGATAAATATGGGACAGATTTTTAGGATTTTATGGCAGCGCTGCACTGTAGAGAGAAGGAAAAGCCCTAGTTTTTACTCCACTGTTGCTGTAGCTGTTCATTATGGAGCCAGACACCACACGCACAAACGCATACATACAGAACCTCCCACCTGACACAAACACACACATGCACACAAATACTGTACAAACACACATGGACTACAGAGGAATTTCCTAGTTTCATATAAAACTGATAATGGGATGTGTCTCAGCAGGAGTGGAAACTCAGAGGTGACTTACGAGCCTCGACATTCCAGCCTCTCTCTCACACACACACACACACACACACACACACACACACACACACTCGTCATTTTCTTCAGGCGCTCAAACACAGAAACACACAAGAGAAAGAGAAAGGAGATAGGGAAGAGGTTTGGCTGAGAGAAAGCAGTTAACGTTCCATGTCAGTTAAGTTTCCATGTCTTCACAGCGCTGGACTCTTTAGCGTTTTTCTTTCGTTTTGATGGAAAAGGGAAGGCAGCTGGGCCTTTTGGAACATGTTGCTGCAATATGCAGTGCGGCTAGAGTGAATTCAGATGAAGGTGGAAAGAGTTCATGGAAGACAGTGAGAAGGAATAATAATAAAGTACAGAAGAGATACAAACCACACAAAAACAAGTAAATAAGGAAAGGGAATAATGTGGTAGAAATTATTATTACTGTTGTTGTCCATTCCTCCAGTGCAGGTGAGAAAGAATAAATGGACCTAGCCCAATGAGGCCTTTTGTGATGTCAATATAAAGAAAGAATAAGATAAGTACAAATTATCTCAGCTGAGAGGCCAGAGGTTGCAACCCTCGCATAGAGGAATCAGGGTTGGACTGAGAGAAACAGTTTGGAAAGGAAAGGAGTGCGAGACAGGGCCAGGTCTAGAAAATTTTGGACAGGGTGGCCAAGATGGAACACAGACTCAGGGAGGGGTGGCAAATTTGAAATACCCCAATTAAACCCCTAGTTCTATGAAATGATAAACCATACATAATTAAGAATCAAAATGTTTATTTTGTGCATAAATAAGATACACAGCTTTCTTCCCTAACTTTGGCTGCGCTCCTCATTTACTCCCTCTGC